GAGTTCGCGTAAGTTTGCATGTGGTCCGGGAGCGACCTGGGTCCGATGTCGGATATTCTGTGGAGCGGACATTCTGACGACCGCCCGGATGGCACCCCGACGTCCGCTCTGGCAACGCCGGGGCGTGCTCTCGTTCGCCTGCCAACTCGCTCTACCCTATTCTCCATTCATTCGGTACAGAGTACAAAGCTCTCTTTGCTAGAATCTCCTCATTCGGATCGGAACCCGACTTAGTGACTGTGGCTGGGGCCTGACCATGACTTTATCTGCTGCGATAGGTACTTGAACCTTTAAAAATTTCCCAAGTACAGAAAAGGTGATATTTTAAATTTGCCTCGACATCTGCCAAAGTCAAGCACGAGCACGCAGCTGAGGACAACTGCAGCGACTTCCACTCAAAGGGTAGGACTTCATGTCTGCTTTCCTGGATAAAAATGGGACCACATTGACCAACGGTACATATTAATCGTTTCGTTATGAGGGTACATAAAGTCTCAAGCACTGCTGTACCTGCGTATGGCATCCGTCAGACGAAGACTTACGGAGCGTCAAACGCGGCACCCATTTCACCTCCCGGTTTAACTCGTCCAGACCTCTGCGATCGGGGAGTGGGTACAGGGAGAAATGTCTCTTTCTCTCAAGGCAAGCCAATGGCCACCCAGCAGAAGGCATGAAAGCTCCGGCGGCCCGAAAATTGACGCAGTACAAATTGGACGTCGCGACTCCTTATGAGACTCGTTCCTATCTGCAAGGACAACTGAATGAAGCTGGTGTAAAATGATGTTATGGAGCAGACATTAAAAGGAAGGTCATTCGCACGCTGAAATCGCCCTAACATCCAAAAACAGCATTGCGAAACAGCTGTTACCCCTCCTTAGCTCATCAGCATCCACCCCGGGGCCGCCAATCCGCGGAGGGAAATTCGTCGTGATCATAGGCGTTAATGCCCCCCTAGTGTCAAACTATTGTGATACGAAGGACAAGTCGTACGACATATTTGCACACCCTCCTGTTCGCTATGTTGAAAGCTGGCAAACTGATTGTCCCCAGCGAGAGAGAGAAATTACTAGCCCGCTCCGGGGTCGTAGTTGCAGCGACCTACTTTTGTTGCAAGCATACACAGAGCACAATATCCTCACTAAAATATTTCATCTGTCACACCTAGACAAAATAAGTTAAATGCATCCTCATTCGCGTTTTGGCAAATTCTGCACTAAATCCCCATCGAGCGGATAGATAAACGTGATGTACTGGTGACAAGGGCGACATGTGAGACAAAAGATTAGACAGAATACTGCATTGCTTACATCGAAGCAGCCATGCGCTGTATGTACCTCAGCCTATTTTTCCACGCCCGAGACATTTCGGAGACGAAAAAGTCAAAGAAACTAGAAGAGGACACGACTGCGGTGGTTGGCACAACTAAACAGCCTGTCTGGGCATGCCACACATGACCTGTGCACCGTAAAAGGGTTTAGACCTCGCACAAGTGAGACTGGCATAAAGTCCACATCAGGATTCAACTGCTGCAGTGTAATATCGGTCATGAGTCGGATGGAGTTAGCTCGCCAGCTGCAATTTCTATTGCTTATTACAAGGCCCTTTAATATCTGGCCTATCCCATTTCCTCTCAATCAAGCCGACCGGTTTCGAAACTTGGCAGAGTGGTTGACGTGACGTCGGCTCCCGTATAACGCATCCCATGCTCTGACTCGGTTTTCACAGGACTGAAGTGTGCTGAGTGCAAACTTAAGGGAGAGTCAATGCAACGTAATTCGCGTCTCAACGGCCGATTGTGGTAATCAGTCGGCTGTTGACTTTCCGTTTCATGACACTTGACAGGTCCAAACTTGTCTTACTTATTAAAGTGTTTGATGTACTGATTCATCCCGGGAGGGATAGCTGGGAATCGGCCCGACTCTCCTTTTTCATGCGCCAGTGACTACCGGTACTGTCGGCTGGTCAGTTATAAGTTTGAGTTCAGGCGACCTACTTGGCGCGATACATTCCATCAGCGCTGGTCGCTTACTCCGTATGGTAGAAATTCACCAGTGCACTGAGTTAAGATGTGCGCATGGTGATAAACGCCGTTTTGCCCGACATAAAGACACTGGTTATTTGTGCAGTATCATTGTGGCGTGAGCAATGTGTGCTGTGTCGTTAGTACTTTGCATTTATGCATGTGTAACCGAACAGACCCATACATCGTCTGGGCATGTTTGGGCGCATTGCCTGCAAGAAAACAGGTGTATGTAGTGTTATTGATCATTTCCACGCATGAGAACATAGCCAAATATGTTCATGGGGTGCATGAATATCCCGGGACAATGTGAACGGTTCGTGGTGAATGTTGGTCACTGAGAGCACTTCCCTAGACACGTTTCGATGGGTTTACAGGTGTTCGACCGCGCAAATGCGTGAATTGAATGTGGGGTTACAATAGAACATGTTGTCACCGTGTCTACATTGTCGATATATGTAAAAATCCTTTTTTGTCCAGACCGCATTTCTTTCTTGGTTAGTGTAGTGATGTCAACCCATGGCTAAAGTCGGCCGACCTGGGCTGGTGCTGGTACCGGCAGAGGGATTATGCCTATAACTGAACTCCATTGTGGTATGTGTCTCGAATAAAGGCTGATATTTTGTCTCGGAAACTTCAATGAGTTGGAACGGGTTACTTTATCTACATAAATACCTCTGCTGCCACAGCTTGAGATGCTTCGGCAATATCGGGATTCTGTGGAATATATAAATGTTCATCATTTATTACCTCCTGAAATGTCTATAGCCTTATACTTCACTAGTAGAAAACCCGGATACATTTTTAAGCAAATCGGTAACATTTTGCAACTGCTACGTAGCTTTGGGGTGAGATTGCTAAAAGTTATCCATGGCAATAGTGTTGCATTCTTTTAAATATTTGATTGGCCGTCTACCTTTCTAGAGATAAAACCCACAGTCAACCACCAAAACGACTCTCAATAAGCAAGCACAGAAGGCTCGAATGTTGAAAAATTAGAAAAAACGAAAGTCGACAAGAGATTTTATGTTGAATGACCAAAGACAAGAATTAAGACAATCATCATGGACACAGAGGAATGAACATGAATTCTGAAGAAATTGGGGTTGATTTGGCTTCGCCGACTAACACTTTCTGTACCGACTATCTAAAAAACCCAATTGTTCTTCATCTAAAATGCCAAGAGCACGGTGGCAAAAACTACACTCGCAAGTTGCAGACGCAAACCGAAATAGAAGAGCAGGACAGATGCGATTCACCTAGATGCTGTACATGGAGGAATAAAGAAATTATTTACGATTATAACAACCGTCACGGCCATAAATAAACCAGGACTGTGCCGTCTACCACTGGGGAAAAAATACTGACGCAGAAATATTAGGTTTTGGATCGGAGGGCTGAATACATCCGGAACTTCTTCAACCTCTACACATATCCTTCAAAGTAACAGTCAGCACCTTGTCGCAGGATGGATCCTTTGTTAAATTTGAATCAATTCCAGTTAGACAGAATAATATTATAGCCATTCATAAGATTTCAGTTTGCAGGTCCTCGGACGTCCCTGCTCCTGAAAAACTTTCGATATATATATAGTGGTAGGGGGCGCTCACCGATCGTTCATACGGAACTCACTCGTTCCGTTGTGCCTTAAGAGCTCTCTCTCGAGCCCAACCAGCAGCCGCACAGCGGCGCATGATACATAGGCAGAATAACATTACCGACAAAGACAAGGGAGACTGGAATGGCCATTTCTGGCTTATTAGCCGTCGTCAGCCAGCCATACCCAAGCCCGAAGTGTGGAACACCCGAGCCTCGAACTCGCGACCTGTTGGTTTAGAAGTCAACGCCTCTACTCTATATATATCAATCAGGAATGGGCGCACACCGATCTATTGGCTTCACGAAGCAAACAAGCTCCGTATGTGTGGCAAAGGTCACGAACAGGCAACCAATTACCAGGCCGAAGTCGGCCAAGTCATAATAGCAGCAAGGAGGGACAACAGAGAATGCGGGTAGATTGATACAGTACTGTTTCGGGCTTATTGTGCCTTCATTCAGCCAATCATAACCCTGACCAGCAGCAGCTGGGACCAGAAACACAAACATGCGCACAGACGCACCTGGCGCAGTTGATCCACCACTGGGGTCTACCAGATGGGTCATAAGCACTTCATCGAACCGAAGTTCATCAGTGCCTCGCCACCTGCCATTCTCTGTTGCTGCAGATCGGGTATTTATTCACTCAGGAATGGGGGCACACCGATCCATTGGCTTCCCAGACTCTGCCGTATCCGCTCTGCTATCATAGCTTGGCCGACTTCGGCCTGGTAGGTGGTTGCCTGTTCGTGACCCCTATCGCCCATACGAAGCTTGTTTGCTTCGGGAAGCCAATGGATTGGTGTGCGCCCATTCCTGAGTGAATATATATATAACAAATTTATTATTATATACCCCTTAGGATAGTATCAAAGCAGGTAAAAACAAATTTTCAAGTGAATTTTAGAATGAGTTGACATACACTGCACAGCATTCAGTTCATGCTTATGAAAAACGATTAGAAAGCAGTGAAAAAGTTCTTCTCTTGAAAGAGACGAGATGAATATGAATTAATCAGCTTTTTATGAGAAAAAGACTGTCGCTAACGAAAGGGTAGATTTGCGGGTCGGAAAGGACTGGCCTGCATATGGTAGTGTACAATGGGTTCAAAACGGTCATCGTCAAGGCAGAATTCCTAAACCGGATGAGGCTTCCCACCTCGAAATGGAGAGACGAGAGGAAGCCAGACGCGACCAGTCACAGTCCGCTTAGAGTCCAGCCGAGGAGGGGACAATAAACATGATGGCGGTCATCAAAGCGTAAAAGGGAGAATGCGACTTTGAGACCACGTCGCCGACCGACCAAGCTACTCGCAGATCGCGAAAACGGGGGATTTCGCCGTGATCGACAACGGGCCGCTTGGGGTCAAAATGAGGAGATGATATTAAGCACCATGAAATTCACCGATTTGGAGGGAGGTTTCAAAATCGCAGGGGCCAGAGTGGATCCCTGATGAGGGCCAGGGATTAGCAAAACGTAGGCGCTTAAGGCGTGCACGTCGAATTTGCTCCGCTATTTGTCCGAGAGGATTTTTCGGGGAGGACATCGCGTTCCGTGAGGGACAGGATCCATGGACTGAAAAATCGAAATCTCTGATAACAGATCCCAAAAGCGAAAGTACACAAAGAGAAGGAGCTTGAGTGGTTGCGACAATTTGGTGGCAGCTTCCTATATTCCCGATGGCCACTTCTCAGCGTCATAAAGAAAGTTGTCCAGGAAGGATGAGTAAAATGTAAGTTTAGTCGAGTGGGTATTCAGATAAAGGCGCAGCTATCTCTTAGATGCATGTAGATTAACTGATGATCTTATATCTTTTGAAAGGTTATTCCGAAGTAATGTAAACCTGGAAGCGAAAAAGAGAGAGCACTTAGAAGCGGATGAAGCGGAGGGGGTATAATGAAGGAAGAGTTGCAAAGGTTGTAAGGGCGATTATTAGGTGTAAGTGCTGGAATTCGAGGAAGATTCAAACAATTATTAATGCGAAAGAGGAGACAGAAGCCTGCCTTTAGTCTTCAAATTCATAGAAAATTTAGTTTTATCAGTTAGAATCTGAGTAAGAGATATTTGGATGTTCCGTACCCAAGAGTCTTCTAGTTAAATGTCGTAGAACATTTTTAATTTTCGAGCGACTAGCCTCGTTCATCAAAACAAGAATGGACAACAATATTCGAGAATGGGAAGTACGAACATACGATAGAGTAATAATTGACTTTCAGGGAGATAAAAATGTGAGAAATAAAGCCACAAATCTGAGCAGCTTTGTGCGTAATTCTGTCGGCGTGTTGCGAGATATCTAGATTATTCTATGAGCCTAAATCGAAGTCCTTGGTGATGGCACAACCATCGTTTTCAGCTATTCGTCCAGACAACTATGGCAAGATTCCTGAGCAACATGAACAAGCGATTGTAGTGGCGGGGGAAGGAGTGACGTCGGATCACAAACGATGTTAGAAGGGGTAGATGGCAACTTGAACTCAGACAGGCCGACTGTTTGGAAATTCCTGTCTTAGAGTCCTTGTATCTCATAACGTGCAGGATAAGGTGATACAGGCATGCGGGACATCACACGAGGCAGGACTGGTAAT